ATAAGATTGAATAAGTATGGCGAAAGAATACAACCCTGTCTCACACCTTTCCCAATTTTAAAACATTCAGTGTTCCCATGTTCTGTTCGAACAATTGCTTCTTGGTCTAGGTACAGATTTCTCAGAAGTACAATACAATGTACTACAATTCCCATTGTAGTCCTGTTGTTCCATAGTTTACAATCTAAATTGGGAAGAGAAGGGACAGAATTCAGAAGATCAGTTTTGCTTGGGATATATTGAGTTTTAGATTCCTAAGATTTGGCACAAATGTGTCCTATGTGATATTGGATAGTTCTAAACTCATGGAGATTTAGGTTGGTGATAGGATTTGGAGATCATCCAGATTTAAACCATGGATGACTGGATAAAAAGAGTGGATAAAGTTGTTTTTTGGAATGATTCCAGCAGACAGTCAAAAATAGACAAGATAGATATATGGGATGTGGCAGTCTGAAACTCTACAGGTCAGTTTTTTAGGGTTTATGGCTAGACACTATTTTGTTATTATTAGGTACTATTTGTCTCATAGTGATGGAACAGTTATTTGATTTCTTGCCTACTGCTTCCATGAGCATTGATTATGAATCCAAGTAAAATGAAATTCTTAATATTTTTTTTGGATATCATGACCACATTTTAATGAGTATGAATAGTAAAATTGTAGCTCCTTTTGCATGTAGTGCATGATTAACCTTATCAAGTGGTGGTTCCGACTCATAGGGACAGAGGCTGTAAATCTTTACCGGAGCAGAAAACTTCATCTTTCTCCCGCAGAGCAGCTGGTAGTTTGGAATTGCTGACTGTCAGGTTTGCAGCCTGATTCGTAACCACTGCGCTAGCGCCCCTAACCTTATCAAGTAGTAGTATAAAAGGTGCGTATAGCAAAAGTGTCGTTTGAACACCCAATGTGCCTCTTTGTACAGGTGTTCAGAACTCCTTATAATTATAAAGGCTTTATTTGGAGTGTTTGTTAATTGACTCAATCATTCTAGGGCATTTGGGTAACAGGTTTTTTCGAGTTCTTCGGATTCCCTAATATTTAATCATTGGTGGTCTTTGCCAGTACAGGTTCAGCGTGTGCTGGGGCTGGAGGCTATAAGGCCTGAGCAAAGATTAAGTGTGTACAGAAGTGGAGACAATCTAAAGTGAAACAAATAAAAAAGAATTACGAGAGAGATTGGAAAGTGACTTGAAGGGAATGTAAGATCTGTAGAGATCTTTTTTCAAGATTGGAATAAAAATACGTGGGTCTTGTGAGCCGCGAATGTACATATGGCACATCAGACAGCCTTCTGGGAGTGCCCTCTTCACCTCCCCATCGTTTCGTGGGTCCTAGGAGCCGGGGAGAACATGGGAGGAGCTTTGCCAGTTGCAGGTACCGGAAGTGACGCATATCTCGCGAGAAGTAAGAAGCGCGAGCCTCGGCGGCCCGGAACCGGTCTTGGAACAGCGGCGGTGCCTGAGGCCGCTTCCCCTCCCGCCCCATGGAGGGGCCCCCGGGCCTGCGGCCGGGCGCGGGCGGGCCCTGGGAGATGCGGGAGCGGCTGGGCACCGGCGGCTTCGGGAATGTCTCTCTGTACCAGCATCGGGTGAGGCGGGGCGCGCGAAGGAGCAGTGATGGGTGTCTGTCAGAGTGCCTGTGGCACTTTAGTGACTGTCAGTGTGTCAGTGAGAATTAGGGTTAGTGTTTGTGGGTCAGTGGGTTTGTGTGTGTGAGATATTGTGCTTGTGAGCGTGGGTGACTGAGTCTGAGGTTGTGTCGGTAGAAACGTGTGCTAGTGGTCCTGGGCCAGTGTGTGTGAGGTCGATTAGGGGAGACGTTGGGTGTGAGTGGCAAGGTGTGACAGTGCCTGTATGTGTCTCTGTGAGTGAGGTGGACGCCAGAATGTGTACGTGTGAGCAGAAATGGGGGAGAAATTGGGGCTCCAAGGGGGGGCTGCCTGGGGGGATGTGTACGGGCCCTGCTTGTGCCTGGAGGGACTGCAGTAGACCAGGTCTGTGGAAGCAGGGGCAGCTTTTGGAGTTGGGGATGCACTCCAGATAGGAAGTAGTAAGAGGAGAAGTGGTGAACATGACCAATGGTTTCACAAAGGACGGAGAGATTGTAGGTGGAGGCCAGCTGACAACACTTAGGAATTTTATTTTGATTTCACTGAGAATATTTAGCTATTGTAGCAGCAGTTAATCATGTTCAAGTAAGCCATGCATCCTTTGAGATACCAATAAAAGCTATGGATCCTTTCCCCTCCAAAAAAAGAGTATCCACCGAACCCTATGCATATCCGTTTCAGGGCATTCAGAGTCTCCTGACACACATTTACAGACCTTCTAGGTGTATACCTTGCACTCTAGTTGATCCCACCCACAGTGACCCCACCCAATGTAAAGTTTCCAAGGTTGTAAATCTTTCCAAGAGGAGACAGCCTCATCCTTTCTCCTGTGGAGCAGCTGGTGGGTTCTGAACTGCTGACCTTGCCTAATCCACAGTGCCACAGACCCTAGATTAATAATCTCTGCAGAATAGCATTTGATATGTCATATGTAAAATGGGTATATTTTCTTCGACTTTGTGGGTCTGCCTGAGAGTGGTAATGATTGTGAGGTTAGCCCAGGACTGGGCGGTGTTTCATTCTGTTGTGCATAGGGTCACTGTGAGTTGGTGTTGATTCGATGGTACCTAACAACAACAATGTAAAAATAAGTAGAATGCCTGGTTTGTGGTAAGCCCTCATACGTTAGCTACCCCTGCTGTATTGGTGCTATTGTCATCCTCATCTCTAGTCATGGACCTTAAAATAGAACATGGTTACGAATCGGGCTGCTAACCTCAAGGTTGGCAGTTCAAAACTACCAGCTGTTCCACGGGATAAAGATGAGGCTTTCTGCTCCCATAAAGATTTACAGCCTTGGAAACCTTGTACAGGGTCGCCATGAGTTGGAAGTGACTCCACGGTACTTAACAACAACAAGAAGATAAAAGTTGTGCTCTAGGAAGATTATTGTGTAAAAGATGAGTTTGAGTAGAAAAGCATATGGGACAAGAGTAATCCTTAATCTATTACTAAAATGGCTGTGCGTGGCGTGTGAATGGAGAAGTGAAGTCTACAGGAGATATCCTGATTTGCTGTTTTAGTGAACGTAGATGTGGATTGTTGTTGTTGTTATGATGTGCCTTCAAGTTGGTCCTTACTCATAATGACCCTGTATTGGGTTTCGGAGGCTGTAAGTTTCATTAAGGGAGCAGAAAGCCTCATCTGTCTTTCTTCTGTGAAATGGCTGGTGGGTTTGAACTGCCGACCTTGTGGTAAGTAGTTCAGTATTTATGCTACAGAGCCTCCAATGCTCCCTGTGTGTGGATAGAAAGCGCATTATAAGATGGGGTCAAGAGAGATGGGCGTCTACCTGATACTTAGTCTACTTTGATAACCACGCACGTCTTACCATCAGAGGGGATTTAAGGCACTCAAAGAGAAAAAAAGGGGAGCCAAATGCTTTCAGCAGAACGTTGCCTTGGGACCTCGTTATTGGCACAGCTGTACAAGACTTCTGCATGCTGACACACTTTTGTGCTTCTCTGGGTCCCTGGCTGCGCTGGATAAATACATCACTTTGTAAATGGAAGCAACATAGGTTCCTGTAGAATCTTAGAAATCTCTCAGGAGCGTTCCATATGTCTGTAGTGGGACTTTTGACAATAGAACCTGTAGTGATGAAAGAAAACTATTATTTTCATAGTGCTAGACAACAGCATCATTCCTTTCCCAAACCTAACTTAAAGTTTGCATTTAGAACGTCAAGATTCTGCATTTTGGTGGAAGCTGTGCCCCGGTATTTCATCTATACCTAACAAAGCACAATGGGGAAGAGACAAAGAATATGAGATGGTTTATTTAGCTGTTGACTGTAGGTACCCAAATCAACAAAAACAACATTCAAGGAGCTTTCATATCTATTGAGAGAAATAGACACCAAAACAAAGTACGATGTGTTAACCTATATATGAAAGTTTCTGCAAAAAGTGATATGGAAACAAGACAAAGGAATCCCAAAACTCTTTCGACGGGTAATATGGTTGTTACTTCCAACTCTAAGAGACCCTGTTTAGGGTTTCCAAGGAGCAACTGCTGGATTTGAATCATGGACCTTGCGGTTAGCTTTCCAGTAATTATCCTACAGTGTCAGATCAGGACTCCAGGTAACTGGGTTATTGTTGTTAAATGATGTTGAGTTGATTTGGATTCATAGTGACACCCTACATAGGGTTTTCAAGGAGCATCTGGTGGGTTTGAACCACCAACCTTGTGGTTGGCAGTCCAGAATTTATCCTATAGTACCAAACCAGGACTCCAGGTAATAAGAGTTGTTGTTGTTAAGTGCTGTCAAGTTGATTCTGACCTATAGCGACCCTGTATAGGGTTTCCGGGGAGCAGCTAGTGAGCTTGAACTGCCGACCTTGTAGTTCAAACGGCTTTGCAGTCTGGTGCATAACCCTCAGTGCCACACCAGGTAATAAGAGTAACACTTCTTTTTTAAAGAAACTTGTTATTGTAGTTTGGTTTACAGAGCAGATTAGTTTTCCATTTAGTAATACATACATATTTTGTTTCCTGACATTTAGTTGTAATCCTCTTCATGTGACAGCACTCTTTCCATTTCCTCCTTCAGTTCCATTCATCTTTCTTTCCTGTTCCTTCCTGCTTTCAGTGGTTTGTTTTTATGCATATGCTGCCCTTGTGGTCTCCTATGGCTGACTGTATAGGAGTACATTCCTCACTGTATTATTATTCATTTATCAGTCTGTCTGTTTGACTGAAAGTTGAATCCCTGAGGGTGGGTTCAGTTCTGGCTGAGGGCTATCTAAGGGTCACAGTCTGGGGCTTCCATAAGTCTCGATCAGGCCAGTAAGTGTGGTCATTTTATGATTCTGAAGTTTGTTCTACATTTTTTTCTTTCTCTATGCAGTACATTCTGGAGTCCTTGTGTGGTGATATAGGATAAGCATTAGACTGCTAACCGCAAGGTTGTTGTTGTTATGTGCCGTGGAGTTGGTTCCGACTCATAGCGACCCTGTACACGGTTTCCGAGGCTGGAAATCTTTACAGGAGCAGAAAGCCTCATTTTTCTCCTGCAGAACAGCTGGTAGTTTTGAACTGCTGATCTTGCAGTTTGCAGCCCAATTCATAACCACTGCGCTACCAGAGGTAGGCGGTTCAAACCCAGTAGCCATTCCTTGTTGTTAAGTGCTGTTTACTTGGTTTTGATCTGTAGCTACCCTGTATAGGGTTTCCAGGGAGCAGCTGGTGAGCTTGAACCACCTACCTTGTGGTTCAAAGGACTTTGCAGTCCAGCGCAGTATCCCACAGCGCCACACCAGGACTCCTTGGAGATCCTATAAAGGGTCAGGATGAATTGGAATCCACTTGACGACACTTAGTAGCAACAAAACAACATGCAGCACATTTTGCTGTGATCCTGATCTGAGAAGTCTGTAGGGTTAGCTAGACACCATCTAGTTCTGGCTTCAGAGTAGTGGGTATGTTGGTTCACTTGGTCCATTAGTCCTTTGGACTAATTGTGTTAGGGTAGAACTTCAGAAAGTGTGTTTGGAAAAGTAATCCTATGAAACACCTTGTACAAAGGGCATTTCACACATAAATATATTGGGTATTTAAAAGGCTATTACATTCCTTAATTTGGAGATTCATAACCCACATTAGCATATTAAAAGCTCTAAGAAGTCCCATAGTGTTTTCCACATATATTTTAACACAGATTTTTTGTTATTGTTGCTGCTGCTAGATACCTGTGAACATCTCACAAAGCACTCTGAGAAGGCTGAGTAGGGAAGGGCCTCACAAGGTACTTAAAGAATTTTTATCTATGGGATCTTTTTGAAATAGCTTCCTGTTTCCTTCACTTAGGGTTTAAGATTGTTCATGATTATACTAAATTTTCTCTAGATGGTAAAGAGTTACATGGGACATAGTTACAACAGCCACCTGCACATAACAAAAGAAAGCTTGAAGGAAGTGAGGATTGTGGTTAGGTTAGATTGTAGTCTGCCCTCTTTCCTTATTTCTGTCTTTATATATGTCAACAAACCTGTCAGTTTGTTGCATTTTGGTGGCTTGTGTGTTGTTATGATACTGGAAGCTATGCCACCGGCATTTTAAATACCATCAGGGTAACTGATGGTGGACAGGTTTTAGACTAGGAAGAAGAAATAGGCAGTCTACTTCTGAAAAATTAGCCACTGAAAATGGAACATTGTGCCTGAAGATGAGCCCCTCTTTTAGAAGGCATTTAAGATACCACTGGGGAAAAGTTGTCTCCTCAAAGTAGAGTTGACCTTAATGATGTGGATGGAGCAAAGTTTTTGGGACCTTCATTTGCTGATGTGACATGACTCAAAGTTGAAGAAATAGCTGCAAGCATCCATTAATAGTCCGGATGTGGAATGTACAAAGTGTGAAACTAGGAAAATTGGAAGTCATCCAAAATGAAATGAAACACGTAAAGATTGGTATCCAAGGAGTCCTGGTTTGGTGCTGCAGGATAATATACTGGACCATAATATTGGTTTTAACCAGCAAGATCTGTGGTTCAAACTCACCAGCTGCTCCTCAGAAACCCTAGACAAGGTAGCTATGAGTCGGAACCATCTCAGCGACACTTAACAATGGTGAGCTGAAATGAACAAGTATCATTCAGTTTGAATTGGACAATCATGGTTTACTGTATCAGGAATGACAAAGAGGAATGGCTTTGCATTCATCATCAAAAAAGAACATTTCAAGATCTATCTTGAAGTCCAATGC